AGCAAAAAAACTAAATTAAATTTAAATAAAGGTAACTGACCCTTTTCTCAACCTAGAGGAAGCTGAGAAATTAAAAAAATGAAAATAATTTCAATAATTACGCACTCAGGTTAGGCACTAAGTGATACTGGTTAAGCGGATGAACAGCTAACATGAGCAGTTACACTAAGTTGGGAAAAAAATCGGCGGAAAAATTCAACGGAGTTATGCAACTACTGGTTACCCACTAAAGTAACCAAATAAATTTGAGTTGACATGATAGCACTAAGGATGATAGGGTTTGAACAATGGATTTAGTCAATTTGAAAGCAGTAAAAAGTTTGAAGGAAAATTAGGTTTTATCTTCTTGAATGACTTTATTGAGTTTCGCGCTAAATAACTCACTATTTTAAATAAAGTTTTAAATAAAGAGTCTTTTTAAATAAAGTTGAGGAGGTCCTTCGTTTCGACTTGACTCATTATCGGCAATATTTGTTGTTTCCTGTTCAGCAGTATTCTCGTCTGAGAAAACAATGACTTCATATATAGAAAGTTTACAGCTGTGTCCTCATCTTGTGAAGTCTCTTGTTTTTCCGGCGGATTGCGTTTTTTCGACTTCGAAAGTTATAAAAGACTGTGAGGTAGGTGGGTATTGTGTCCAACTCTGACAATCAGCAGTGAAGCTTATCGGGCAACCGAGAGGTTTAGCCCTTGTTGTCTGCCCGTCTAAAATATCTGTTTTTTTTGTTATCTCGAGTGATATGTGAATTTAAGATGGCGATATTAGGTTCCGGTTCTCCAATATTATCCGAAATGTAGCGTTCCCCAATCATATCTCTACATGGAAAGCCTCCAGCAGTCCACTCCTTATCACTAATATCAGAGGTATTCGACGGACTTGACATATATTTATCGCAAGCTAAGTAACCTGTGCTTGTGGTGGATTTCTAGTATGGTCGTGGTTGAATTCTAGCGGTTTTAGTGAAGGTTTTGAATCTCTAGTCCTCGTATCGTTGTCAGAAGTCGCTTCTTCGATTTGGAGTCTCAACTTAGGGCCCTGTTTTCTGAAGATTGTGGGTTTCTTTCTGATAGTCCGCTTTGAACTCATTTCAAAATCAGGTTTAGGAAGTAAACGAAAATAAATATTTCCTCTAAAGGATCGAATACAAGCAGAGTTTGTGATGATTTTTCCGTCCGATAATTCGACCGTGGTTCTCTTTTGTTCTCGGGTCTTTCTGTTTTCTGTTGTTTTCTGGCGTGCTGTTTTCTGGTTTTCTGTTTCATTATCCGGTGGACTTTCTAAGGATGGTGGTTGTGGATGGTGTCTTTCTATGAGATAAATTAGATTTTCTATATCAATATTTTCTTTGCTATCACCGCAAGGTGCAAAAGCTCGCTGAACTCTTCCCACGGAATTGGTGGGTCCACAGTATGAATTTGTCAAAATGAAGTTATGCCTCTCACGCTAGATTCGTTATTGTTTGACTGCTCCATGATAAAATGTTATCTTGTTGCAGCAAATTCTACTAATGCACAGATAAAAAGTTAAAAGTAAGAAGTTATTCAATCTTAAAATTGAAACATCAAAAAAGAGAGCATCTTCTCCGCCGGAGGCAATGAACAGTTCAAGGTCATAACATCAAGACCTGTTATAATAATTTGCGTTAATTAATATAAATTAAAACACTGCAATTCACAACAAACCCCCTCGAGAAAATCTAAGATGCGCCCCTTGTATTATTGGTTCATTTTCGTAACTTAAAGATTTCTTTGCTCTTAGATTTAAAGTTTGTCATTTTCTTGGAAAATGGATTAGAAAATTTAGTGCCACAAAAACTTGGTTTCCCTTTCCCTTAAAAAAGTTTGAATAATGGCCAAAAGGTCACTTGGATAAAACATAGTAAGTCAACCAACTTTTGAGTTGCTAATGTGCGCTAAGCCATGGCTGCATGCAGGGTCGGATATAGGTAGAGTTTCAGAGAAATTAAAAAAAAAATGTCGACCTCTTTTTCAAATCGACCAAATTGATTTTCTGGAGCTCTGCCATATCACTATAAAGCCCAAACTTTGACCAACTTTTGAAAAAATTCAGGCCAAAAAGACGTTTTGGGCACTTTTTAGAAAGTTTTGACCAGTATTTTGCGTTTGCTCGGCTCGCGCTTCCCCTCAAAGTTAGTATGTTTTAGCGACAAAAACATTTTAGAACATTTTTTGGGTCAGTCAGCCAAAACATTGATATCTCAAAATAGTGCAAAGGGGAACCCTTTGGGTCGGCAGAGAGTCAAATTCCTGAGGGAAGGCGTCTGTCTCCCCCCGCCCCCATACTAAATCCGCTGGTGGCTGTATGGTTGTTGAGTTTTGGGTACCAAAAAAGAATAGACAACGGTCTAATTTAGTTTCTGCTATTTGACAGATACTTGATAAGTCAGAATTTGACAATTCAAAAAGATGGATTTTTTTCACAACAGGGACAAATTGTCATTCTGAACTAACAAATATTAATGCAAATAAGACCGCCTCAGCTTAAGTTTGCTTCGATTTTTTGTCCTAGGAAATTTCCTGCTAAACTTAATCGAAGTAAAAAAATGTTTTCAATAGTTCAACCCATTTTGACATTGCTTAAGTATACTAGAGACTCTCTGACTATTCTAAAAGGTAGAGATTGAATAGGTTTACCTTAGATGATAATTATATCATGCACCAATGAATTCGCCTTGGCTTTGGCCTAGATTTTCGAAAAAGTGTTATTTTTAGACTAATTTTGCGTTTGAAAACTTCAAAATATTAGGCAAAACAAAGGTTCCATTTGGATAGAGATAAATGGAAATACATGGGACTCAGAACTCTTCCGATTGAATTATTTTTTTGACCAATAGTTCGAAAGAACTTTGTGTTCTGATGAGTTTTTGTTCTGATCACTTCAAAATAAGGACCAACTATGTTCGGGTGTTTTAGTTAGTTTTTTTTTTCTTTTTGTTTTCCACGCAAAATCAGCTACCACAAATAATCAACAGAATGAGTCGAGTGATATTTCATATTAAAGCCTTTTAAGTCGTGATTTGAACGACATTCAAAAATTTCTGGAAAATTTTTTCTCAGTGTTGAGAAAAACCAATTTGAAATTTTTTGATTTTTGAGCTAATGGGGCGAGCGTATAGTTTTACAATAGCTTATTGGAGCTTAAATGAAGCCGTGAAATTTTAGTTTTACTGGAGTGAAGATAGTTTTCTACGAGCTTTTCGCCGCCATTTTTGGAATCAAAAGCTTAAAATTTTCGGAAAAAAATTTCTCTAAAAAACTTTTCGGAAAATGTGGCAGTCGTAGTCAAATAGGCGTTTTAAAATATTGTTTTTCTGAAAAAATTCTTCCAGAAAAACAAAAAAAAACGTAACAACCATTTAAAAAATATCAATTTTTTTTTGTTTTTCTGGCAATTTTTTAGAATAACAGTCTTCCAATTCGCCTATTTGACTATGACTGTCGCATTTTCCGAAGTCCTATTTTTTCATTCAGTTTTTTTATCATGCCACACAAAAAAAACTACACTAATTTCAAAAATAAGTTGTATCTTTTAAGACTATGGTCGGAACTTTCTGTGCAGTAACCGGCTACCCTTTGTTTATTTTTACTAGTCGGGTAATTCTTCATGTAAAACGCCTTTCAATTTTTTAGAGGAATAAAGCACGAAAATACACTATTTGGAGTTTTTCGAGGAAGAAGATCTAAAACATTTTTTAAACTTAAGGTCAAAGCCACTTGTATGTTGTTCTAAGCCAATTCCTTGTTCTCACACGCACAAATAATTACGGTAAGAGTTTGATCAAAGATTTAGAGGGAAAACGAAAAATTTGTTCAGGGCCAAGCTTTTTTTGCAATATTGACCTATGTTGGACGTTTCTATGTTCATGAACAGCAACCATTTTAAAAAAAAAAATTCTGATAAGTTGAATGTAGAAATAGAAAAATAGTCGAATGTTTATAAACCATAAAAAAAAGTGTTTTTCTTCATATCCAGTTTTATCTATCAAACACTCGAGCTTTTTCCTTCCCCTTTTACCGCTAATTAGATTTCATGAGACAAAATTGAACCGAATAACTTCAAATATTGTTGTTAAACTTCAAATTGGACTTGAAATTGAAGATTTATTGAGCTATTGTTATAAATTTATGCCGATACTTATAGGTCGACTTTGTTTAGATCATTAAAAATTTTTATTCAAACCGCAGCCTCAATTATCCGCCCTCATAATTTTCCTCAAGAAAAATTACAACTTTTTATTGTCAACGTCTTATAAAAAAAAACATATCAATCTCAATTTTAATTGCACGGGCGGTGTGAGTGAATTTTTCGACATACATGGACAAAGATTTCGAGTCTTGCTTTGAGTCATCAAGAAACTTCAGTTTCGAGGACTGTTTTATAATGAAGATTATTGGCAGAGCATATGGTTGAAAAGTGTTTTGTTTTATTTTTATATTTATTACCCTGGGGTTTTAAATGCTCCTCTTTAATGGCTGCTGTTTTATCTTAAACACTCTGTGATGTTTATTTAGTTCCCCTGATTTTTGACGTAATTTTTTCCGCGTTTTTGGCCAACCTGAAAGAAAGTCCGGACGCGCTTTTCAAGATTATCCGGGGCTTATTGGTAATAAATGGTCTATTTACCTGTTTACTAGTAAAACGGTCGGGTTAATCCAACCAATTCGAGCGTCAGCGATTCAACCGAAATCTAGGACTGGAGAAAATTAGCCGAAAATTACAGCTACGCAAATTTATAATTCTAGTTGATATTTTTGCAAAGACTCTTTTGTTGCCCGAGTTTTGCTGATTAGAACCGGATAAGCTATTTTAATTTTCGGTTTTTTGCACTTTTCAACCCTAGCCAAACAGCTTTTGGTTAAATGGAGTTGAAAATTTTGCAAATATTCAAATCGGGATTTGATGTTTACCAAATTGAGGAAAAATGGTTTGTTTTGAATTCGAAATGACTTTTTTGACATTTTCATTTCCTTCTGTTTAGGTGAAAACTGGCGCTCCGATGCCAATTTTCTCAGTTCCGGTCAGCGAGATCAGCCAGAAAATGTGCCTTCTGGTAACGAAAATTCATCGCCGTCGTTTCATGAAAATGTGTCCACTTTTACTGAGAACTTACCTGTAATTAATAGAAATTTTTCACAATTTGACCGCCAAAATTACTCCCCAAGGACTCAAAATGGCGTCGGTTTTACTATAAGCCAACAACAACAACAACAACAACAACCTCTGAGCCAGAATTATTTGAAGCATGAAAGCAACAACAATTACAGTTATAATTTATTACCAAGTTATTTTACCAGTTATAACTCACCCCAGTCTTCAATTTTTACATCACCTGATCGAGAATTGAACCCCTGCCTACATTGTATTTCTTGCGCCCATAAAAGGATCAACCCTATTTTTTATATAGACCACCAATCGCATTTTACCCCTCACTTATTATCAAGTGAGGCGGGACCCCAATATTTTAAAGCATTGGTTCGCCCTCAAAGTTGTTACGCCACACCCCAAAACTATCCTAAAAGTCCTTCAATTACCCGGCCACTCTTAGAAAGAAGCCCAGCTATTACCAGTAACAACCAAGTAAACCACAAATCACCTTTAAGATCCCACTCGCTTCCCGCGTCCCCCTATTGTTCAAGGCCGGAGTTATTTCTAGCCGAAATGCCGCCGAAGCGAAAACAGCCGGTCAGCCGAATCTCTCCCTCGGCCAGATGGGACCAAATCTACAATTCGGCAGTGACTATTCTGTTTTTCTCGACAGTCAATGTGGTTTTGTCAGTTGTGGATTATCAACTGATGGCCGCTGGCTCTTCTATTTGGTTTCCTCTGGCGTATATTCTATCCTCACTATATGTAAGTTTTAGTAACTGCTTTTGTAGCTGACCCTTTGACCCTTTCTTACTATTTTTTCTAATTTTTCTAGGAGGTGCCATTTATAACGAAGATGTCACACCAGAAAAACACTACCTTTTGGTCAAAACTTTCGAAATACTCAAAACGGCGTCTTTTGTATTTTTTCCATTGCCTGCTGCGCGAATATAATCTTCTACAGGCAGAAATTATGAAGCTCGAAATTTCTACTTTGTTTACATAAAAGAGGTCGACAAAAAGTTTGATCTTTTTAAAATAAACCATCGTAGCCAAATAATCCAGAGAAAGCCAGTTGTATCTGAAAGCTATTTTTTAAAAACAACGTTTATGAATTCTCTCTCAGCTCACGGATATCTAGTTTATTGAAGTTATTTTTTTAAACATTTTGTTCATTTTGTTCACACATGTTTTTGCGGCTTGTCTAAAATTCACTTTTTGTGCTGAATTAGCTTCTAGTACTGATGTAAAATAACCGGATAAATAGAACAAAAACTACTTTTGGTCATTTTAAAAAAAAGATTAGAACCAAAACGGTTTGATTTAATTTTCCAGTATTTTATGATGCAACCACATTTGCAAAAATTGCAAACGAAATAGCCCAATGAAAAAAATTGATTGATTGAATAGCACCATTGAAAAAATTGAACCTACTGAGGCAAACAAAGTAAAAATTAACTACAATTGAGCCCGTCTCAATTCAAATTTAATTGAATTGACTCGACTTTTTTACATGGTGCTATTTCAGTTTCCACATCTTAGAAATGTTGTTCGCCGTCGTTTTTTCCAAAGTCACCAAAAATCATTGTCCTAGTTTTAGATCCCGTTTTTCCGATCAGTACCATAGAAGCTTTTTCAGCACAAAATACTGTGATTTTCGATGAACCGCGAAAACATGCTTAAACCAATAATTATCAAAACTAATGAAAATTTTCGAAATTTTCCTGCCTCTCACAAAACCTACTGGCTTAATTAATCGAATATTTGTGATATGATATAATATATCACAAAACAGATTGTTAAATCACCCTGTATGACAATTCTATGAGTTTATTTATGGTGTCAGTTGGTCGAGTAAACAAAACTTGCAAGCTTTCTCAAAAGTTCAAACAGATTCTGAAAGTTTGTCAACCCAGGTTGACCGCAAAGGCTGGTCGTTTATTTTTCATACTTGGAAAAAGCTAATCAGGCACTTTTTATGCAATTCCATACACAGCAACCTGCATGAAATATTTTCTAATTAGTGATTTTTCATAGATGAAAATGTATGACTACATAGTTTTCATAAATAAAAAAAAATTGGAGCTTTTTTGAAAGTTTATTTTCTTCTCCAAGCTTTTAAGTTGTGTTCGTAACCGAGCACAAGTGACACAACCCTTGGCTGACTCAAAACTAGAGTCAACTAGGGTGGACGTTTTTCATTTTACAAAGCATAGCAATCGAACTGAATTGTCCCAGAGTTGTCTTAAACCAATTATAAAATGAAAGTACTACTAAAAATTGGCAAACGTTTTGAAAGATGAAATTTATCAAATTTCAAAGATTTAATAAATCAGACATGGATTTAGTCATACACAACCTAGCAACACAAGGGAAATAACCGTTTTTTGAGTTTTTGAAAAAAATACTGCTAAAATTCATTAGACAAATGGGCAAAGGCACAATAAAATTTTGTTGTCGCCATTAAATACATGCTAGTTATTATATATTTCTGAAATTTCCAAAAATTTCTCTTCCAATATTAAGACAATGCACCGGCTTTTATGCTAACACAAGAAAAACATTTTTCGAAAGTTTGATTACACCATTTTTACAAAATGTTTGAAATAATGAATTTTCGTTGACTTAATTAATGAAATTGTACGATCAGCATTTTTGAACTATAGAGGTAAGCCCGTGAATCTTTGTAATATCAGTTTTAAGGAAGATAATTTGCTATATTTAATTTTTATGTTTGATCAAAACACGTACACTCAAGTCATTGTTCTCTTTCGATGTGCACAAGAAGAAGCTGAGAAAGTAACTTCATTATAACTTGGCTTCGCTTTCCTGGATGAATTAACTAACTCTCAAGAAAGCTAACAAAAAGCAACCTACCATCTTCCAGCTGTTTAAGTTTCCAGCTGATTTCCTTGTTGATGCAAAGTTAATGGTTGTGGCAGCGGTGTTGTAAACCTAAGCCGAAGTATAAACCAGCCGAAGTATCAATCAGCCGAAAATACGTTAGTGTTAGGTAAAATTTATGCAAAAAATAAGAAACAGTTACGGGAGTTATGAAAATACTTCATGATAATAAGATGTAACTTTTCGGCTGGCTTATATACTCTGTAAATTTTGGTTAGTTTATAATTCGGCTGGTTTATTTACCTACGTGACAACATTGTTGATCGGTTTCAGCCTTGTGTCGTTTTCGGAGATCAGTTTTTAGGGACCATTGGTCTCTTTGACAACAAGCTATGGATTGGTTTTTGTTGAGAGATTTTGAGCGAGTATATTGAGACAATCTGAAATCAACCCTAATAGTTTTTTCCTTTTTTTTCCATGTGTTTTCCCGATTTAGAGAAAGTTAAGTTCCTATGATTGGTCATCACGTTTGCTTGATTAAGATGAAAATTATTGTGAAATGAAAGAAAATTCAGTTTGTGGTCTTTTTTGTCAGCAATCAAAACAGTGATTAACTTTTCTGATTTTTATGAGTGTTATCATTTCGTTTAACTGATCAATTTCTATTTGCTTAACAGATTTGGAAGCACCAATTTTTTCGTTGCTGTTACTTAATGAGAAAAAAGATCGATGGTTACTTTTTGGTGGATAGTTTTCCACAAAAATAACGGGCTGTTTGGAATAAAAGCCAGGAATTTTTGTTTTTTGGGAGCATTATTGTAAACATCAATAGGTGTTAATAATTGTCAAGAGCTGACAGAAGCGGCTGATTTCATTGATGTTTTTCTGATTTTTGTTTGTGGACCTATTTTTAAAAATTGTTTGTAGTTTTCAAATTATTATGTCAGGCAAGCAGAATGAGATAAATTGTACACTTTAAAGATACATATCCATATGTCACATAAAATAAATCTCATTTTCGAACAAAAAATTATACTTCAATTTTCGGTTTTTTTTTCGTACCCACTGGCTGTTGCATGGGTTAAGCGATGGTTGGCACTTTAGCAGTCGTATCTTTTGAGTAACTAAGTCAGTCTTATTTCCAGACTAAATAAGTACACCAGTGGTACCCCTAATCTTTATTACTTTTCAAATTTTGTGGAACATTATAAACCGTCGTGTGCTAAAAAAAAAAGCGTCGTTTTTGTTAAAAAATTTTCAAAAACTCCCGAAAACGTCAATTGACGCTGTTTTTTTTGCAGAAATTTCTTTTGTGGCAATGACAGATTGAGCAAAATAAATCGGGTCTTCATCGTTTTGCTCCACTTAAAAAACTCAATCAAAAGTATTTTTTTTTTTTGAAAATCAGCTGTTCTTGAGAAAATCCAGCGAGCTCTTGTGCTCTTTATTTAAAAAAATTTTAATTTTCAATTTAAAAAAGATTTACTGTAAGCCTAGAAAAAAACTGATTATTTAGTTCAAAAGTTAAAAATTCATTTGGACTTTTTGTTTCAGAACAAATTAGTGGCAATTTCGGCGATGTGGGTTTTCAGAAGACGATACGCTGCCTCTACATGCTCGGTTAGTAATTCTGATTGATATAATAATTCGAATAATCTGAAAAATATTTGCATTTCATTTGTTTTTAACTAACATAGGTTGCAGCAGACGCAAATATTTTTTGAAGAATTGAATAGTTTTGAGCTGGGGGGGGGGGGGGGGTGGATTTTTTAGGGGGGGAAGCTTTTTATTTTTGGGATTCGACCCCTCACCAACCAAAGGATTCCCCATTTGGCATTTTTGTTATTGATATCCACTTTAGACAGAACAACCCTTAAACTTTTATGACAATGTATACTAATTTTTCAAGAGAGCGCGCACCGAAAAAAAACACACTTTTTTGGTCAAAACTTTTCAAAATATGCTCAAAAACGTTTTCACCTAATTTTTTTTTATTGTTTTATGTTCAAAATAGGGTCTTTATAGTGTTCTGGGAGTGCTCGGAAAATCAATTTTGTCGACCTAAAAAAGGTTGACCCTCCCCCTTGAGAAAAACCTAGATCCGCCCCTGTTTTTGAGTGTTAATTTTATTCTGGGTTGTTTCAGATTCTACTCATTTTCTACCTTTCCATCATCGGAACTCTAACCTGTATTGGATTAGTGTTCACTACTACCTATGCCCTAGCACAACGGAAAGGAACGTAAGTGAAACACATACTCTGTTGTTTCCAGTAATAACAAGAGAATTATTGAATTCATCCCGAAAACAAGAACACCCAACCAAGAAAACCCTCAGGGATATAAGAAAATTTGACTGTGAACTTTATTTCTTTCAGGCTAAAACAGTTGAGGTTTAAAAATTGAATGTGGTTTAGTGAGCTTGTAGTTCGAAGAAAAAAAAGAAAACGTGTTCTGGAAAAAAGTAAAATTGATTATTTTCATTCCAGCCTAAATTGATTATTTTTAATCCAGACTTAATTGATTGCCGATTTGAATCAAGGGTATAAATCGGTATACACCATGACATTTTCAGATAATAAAAAGACAAAGAATAGCTAGAAAAGCTTTTAAACGTAGGGCAAAATATAGAAGCTTGGATATGATGTTCATCCAATCTAAAAATATGCTAAAATAGAAAACCAAAAAAATTGTACAGCATTTTTTCTTGCAGAAAATGGTTCATTGAGGCCTTCAAAAAGATCAAAAAATCAAAAAAAAATAAGAAAATTGTGACAACGTTCAATCTTTTAGAGACAAAATATGAATTCAGTGTTTTGCATCTAAGGCAAAGATCTTGGCATACAAATCTTGCAAAAAAACATTTTTTTATTCATTTTTCTAGAAAAATAATTCTGTTCATTTTAGATTCGACTATGTAAGAACGGGTGTTACACAAAGACGCTACTACCAGAGTAAAACGGTGAGCACCCCTCTAAAACAAACCAATAACCCCTTCCGTAAAAAACCCCACCCTACCCCACCCCACCCCCTTACGTTGAAAAACTCTGTCGCACGCTTGTGATCCGATAACTGAAATTAATCAAAATCAATTCAAACACCAGAATTTATTAGAGCGATCCATCGTTTGAAGCTTCAATGCCGCGTTATCGCCGCGAGTTTTTCTTGGGAATATTATCAGAAACTAACGAATAACCTTTTTGCCTATTGAAAACTTTTTTCTAATAATTTTGGTCCACAGTGAAAGTAAAATTGTGCAATTTTTTCGGCGACTTTTCGTCCAATGCAACCATTTAAAAAAATTAAAACCTAGAAAAATACAGACTTTCAGCACGGAAAGTCAACTTAATTTCTTAATTTCTTAGTAAAGTTTCTTTGATTCACAGGTGAGCTGTGGCAAAAAGTGCACCACGGATTGGGTTGTCTTAATGTTCATCAGCTGTGGATTCTTCGTCAACGGAGCCATAAGCATCTACCTAAACGCCATTCTGAAGTCACAGTACTGCGAAGCTAGACGAACCGATGAAATGATGAAGAAACACCGTGAAAAAACTAAGAAACGTGAACAAACATTACCGCCTTTGAAATTGAACGGGAGTTTGCCAAATGGAAAACCTAAAAATGGACACATACCAAATGGAACTGTAGTCCAGAAAGCATTGGAAACGCCAAAAAAAGCAAAACAGTTATCTCGAATCAAGTTTATTTCTTCCACACCCAAAGTGAGTAAAAACTAATTTAAAATCTTTTTCATGACGTGAACTATTATTTGGATGTTTTCAGTTTTCTATTAAAAAAAAAGATTTTTGTTTTCGGTTAAAAATAAATGGATATCATTTTTATTATTTTACACATCCTGGTTTGAATCTTCCCTTGACAAAAAACCATGCTTGGAAATTGTAAAGGTTTCATTTTGTTTACAGAAGCGTAAAGCTTTATCAGTAACTACTAACCCTTACATCGGATTCCAACTGGGTAAAATGATTACCGAAGAATACATAGAAGCTCCGTTCAATCAATTTGATGGCCAAAACTCGACTGTTAACCCTAATTCCGAAACGGCTGAAAATCCAGACATGTTTTCTTTGGCCCAAACCAGATTTGGCGCCAGTTTGCCTACGATTACGCAATCGACACTTGTGGAATTTTCCCCTTTTCGATTCAGTGGAGATGATCAAAACTTCGCTGACGAGGATCTAATACGACCAGGCATTGCGTCATTTGACGAGTACAGTCTGGCTATTCCGAGATTGGGCTCGAATTCTTCTGAGTCGCTGACAGCCTATTTCGCCACAGACCAAAAACCAGGTTGGTTAGAGTGCTTCTGTTATAATTTAAATTTTTAAAAGCGTTATAATAAAAAAAATTTTCTCAAAAATTGATTATGAGAAACAGGGCATCTTTAATTGCGAGACAAACTATTTCCGTCTTTCATGAAGATTTCATGAAACAAAAAAAAATTGCTTAAATAATTTGACTTAATTTTTCAGAAACTGAAATTGTTTGCCGAAGCGAAGTTCCGTTGGTTGAAAAACCAAACGAAAGCCGAAAATGCAAATATTCCGAACCAGTGAGGCCAGACGCACCAAATGCGGAAACTTTGATCGACTTCGAATCGCCGCCGAGTGTAATCGGGTCTCCGTTCTCGGCATTCTCACCCCTAGACCACAACAGCAGCAAACGGAGAGAAAGTGTCGAAATTTAAAAGAAAATTAGTTCCTAACTAATAAAAAGTAAAAGCCAACCTTTCGTCTTGTTTTTTAATTAAAAAATGACTTGTTTGTAACATTTTTAACTTAGTTTTGTTGTTCTAAATTATATTCTTTCACATATGGTATCTAGTTTTGATTTTTACCGCGTATTTTTTAGTCCGATGATCTGTTCAAGAAAAACTCTTCTAGATAAATTCTTTTCTTTGAATAGACTTGATTTTGTGAAAAACCTGAAAACATTGAAATGATTTGTTGTCTCTTTGAAAACATTTTAACGGTTTTGCCACTTTTTAAATTTCTGTTACTTTATGAGGTCACTAAAAACTGAAACGCCAATTTTATTTATTGCCAAACTCAAATACTTAATGATCCACTGTTCGATGCATTGTAATTTAGTGATCTTAGCATAGTAACTTTATCGATAGTTGTATCTGGACAGAGTTCATTTATCTACATCATTGATCACATTTTTTTCGAGATGCAATCAACAACCGGTAAGTTGGAAATGAGCTGACTCGATGTCCGTATTGGGCAACCGGTAGTGAATCGGCATAGATTCGACTATGAAGTTTTGTCGGGAGCAATTTTTGGCCGTTTTAGTGTCACCGGATTTGATCAAAATGGTACCTTGCAAGCGAGGGGCGGATCTAGGATTTTCTCGTAAGGAGGGGGGTGGGGTGTGATTTTCAAAAAAATCTAAATTTTGTCGACCTTTTTTTTAGGTCGGCCAAATTGATTATCCGAGCTCCCCCAAATCCCAAAGCAGTAAAAAAAACCCTGTTTGGCCAAGTTTTCGGCAAAAAATTGGGAATAAAAAACAGGCCAAAAAAGGTGTTTTTATGCACTTTTTGGAACATTTTGACCAAATTAACGCTTTTTTTGTCACCCCCCCCCCCCTCAAAAATAGTATATTTGGGCGCCAAAGGCGCCTATAGAAAAATTTTAGGGTGTGTTACCAAAAATGGATATCTCAAAATAGTACAAAGGGGGGACCCTTTGGGTCGGCAGCGGGTCGAATCCCTAAGAGAGGAAGCGTCGCCCCCGCCCATCCTAAATCCGCCCTGTTACAAGCTCCATAAAAGAATAGGTCCTATCCATAAAAACTTGTTAGATAACAAACGCTTAAGGTGACTGACGCAAAAAATAACCAGAATTTTGGGACGAAACGAGAACCAATTAGCGAACTTGGAATACTGGAGCAACGCTTGGCTACTCAAACATTAACACAGCCTGCTATGCAGTTTGCCTTCAAATTGCTGGAAAAAAATTGTATTTTGAACCAGATGTTTTCAAATTGCAGTTCAATTCTAGAAAACTATTTACTTTCACAACAACGGATTGACCAAAAACACTTGTCATTTCATGTATGAAAAACGCTTGTCATATAATTTTGCACACTTCTTTACGTACCAAAACTTGCCAGAAAAATCAATGACAAGCATTATTTCACTTGTTCCTTAGTATACTCAGAACTTGAGTTTGGCTCTTGAATTTGGCTAGAAAATTTTCAGTCAAAATTTTTAGCTGTCGGAAATCATGGCCTGATTTTTTTTGACAAAATGAAGTCTATCTTCACAATGCAAGATCACTAAAAGTTTCAAATTGGATTGGCACTCAGGCTCTTTGCCAAGTTTGTTTCTTTTGTATGAGAAGTTCAGCCTGGACTCTGTCATAGTTAAAATAACAAATGTTTGCAGGCTTTTCTTAATCGAAAAAAAAAGCTTATTCGTGCAAGAAATTATTTTGTGACTAAAAACTGAGGTTCTTTTCCAGTTTAACACCCCTCGTAAAATTACAAAATATGCCTGTTCGAAAATTGTTCACAATGAGTTTTGCATTGAGAAATGTTAAAAATTGACCACTTGTTCACGCTGACACAATTTAATGCAACTTATAACGTGAAAAAAAAATTTAAATAGTCTTTCAAAAATTTAATTTCGTAAAAAAATCGAAGTGGGTGGTGGAACTACAAAAGTGCCAAACTTAAGAAAAACTTACATTGCATGTTGGATTTTTTCTTCGAGCATTTTTGTGCACAATGTAAAAATTGCTTACATTGCAATTTTCATGTATAGAAAATGTTCGGTAAACGTTGCTTCAAAAACACTGTGTTTGAAATTGTAAACCTTTTCTTGTATGAAACTGTACGATAAGGAATTATGGTGCATGGAGGTCAACCCGGGGCTATAACAGCTGAACCTCTGGTGTTCAGTTCTTAACAGCTCAACGTCTGTTTAACCTTGTGGATTAAGTGTTTTATGTTTGTATAGTTTAATAGCTCCAAAAAATAGGTGCAAAATCCTATAGTCCTTTGGTTAATTTTTTTATCAATCAATATAAAATTATACAAGACTGTTCGTATTAGGAAGAAGCCCTGAATGTTCCGAGTGCCTTTGAAAATTTATGGAGCAGTAATAACATTAAAAAAACTTGGAGCAGTAATATGGAGCAGTAATAACAGTCTCCGCTTACGCGTTAACAGCGCGAAATATATCGCGCGTTAGTTGTCCCAAATTGGCCAAAAGGGCAACCTTTTAACCCCCGTAACTTTACGAAAAATTATCACAGGTAAAATATATTTTCAAATTTGAGCTCAGGACAACAATACCTTTCGAATGAAATGAAAAAATTCCGTCAAAAATGGCTAGTTAAAAAATCGAAGTTTGTCTGAAGAAAAAAAAACCCACCCCGACCACAAATATTCCGTCACTTTCGTATCGAAAGTCGGAACAATAATCATGAGATCATTTAAGAAAAAAGAATTATCAGAAAAATGCAATTAAATCAACGCAAGCTTTTTACTGTTTTTGCTTGATTCGATAATTTGTCATGAAACGTCCCGGTACCATTATATTTATCTAACCTAATTTAAAGCAATTTAGATGAGACCTTGTTTTGTCTTGGCATAACTCTCATTCAAAGTAGTAGCCACAGGTTACGAGCATTTGATCTTTTTGTTGCACAATTATGGCAAACTGTAATTTCAATTAAATTTCGAAATTTTTAGCTTTAGACTCGATTTTTCTAATTCTCACATAACACATAAGCTAAGTGGAACCTGATCTAAACTACATTTTATGATTGGATAATTTAGATATTTTACCAATGTAAAGTATTTAATATTAACCAATCATGATCCATCTAACTAACAACCCACTTATTTGTAAGTGCTGAAGTTACTTGTAATTTCAGCACCAGAGAGATTTGAATTTAACTTAGAAATTAGTTGGACTCTCCCGAGCACTTCAGCAGCCGCAATAAACCAGTATACCCTAGATCTATTGAGCCTAGCAGAGACTAGTTAAACAACCTGAGACTAGATAGTATAAGAGTAAGATTAGGATCGGTATTAGACTAAGAAGTTGCACGAATCTATCCGGCCGAAAATAAGATAGCGTGACGAGCAGACGGTGTACCCTATCCGAAATTACTCTATGAGTTATACACCCAAGACCTAACTCATCTGGTGCGACCATAAGTCTCGAACAAGACCTTACTAGATTAGAATTAACCAAAAATAGATTAGAAATTAGACAAAAACATTTACAAAATGTTATACGACAATAATTTAATTGAAATGTCTCTCCGACTCAATAGATCAGAGCCAATATTCCGAACCATAACAGAACTACCCCGAATTGGAAGAAGACCTCGAACCAAAGACGACATACGACAAAGTAGAAACTTGCCGTATAGTTATATGATAGTTCGGCAAAAGCCAGAACAAACTTTTATATTTCGAATACTACTTGCAATGAATTTAGATTTCCATTTGCAAACATAAAACCTTGAAGTTACTCTTCAAAATCATTTCAGGCGCTAAACAAAATTAATATTATACAATAACGATTGATAAAAAGATCTTAGATCGTTTTCCTAAAACTCTGCAGTATTATACAAAACATGTTTGAAAAATATTTATTGGAAAATAAAAATAAAAATTAGTAGCATGACAATAAATGGTTAGTAATCATAAATCATCCTGTTGTTCCAGCTTCATCATCTAAAACATAACAGCAATCATAAACCCACTAACATCATCAAAACACTAAATCTTTCCTTTACACACATTTAAAATTTTATTAAAACTTAAATTCACTTAATTTTAAAACCAGATCATCAAGGCTTATCCTTGGATCTTAAATCATTTTCTACTTAATTAAATTTTAAATTTGATCATCAAGGCTTATCCTTGGATCAAACAGAACAACTTGGTTCTCCCCCACCCACTTAATTAGTGTCTAACGACCTCAAACGTCGATTCACTACCCAACCCTTTCTAAAGACCCAAGACTAATAGAAATTTTTAAACAAAACTAATCATTCAAATTAGGATAAATAGTGAAGAACTTCGGTTATTCATCCTTCACTTGACCCCCCCTCTTACCAGACCCAGGATAAATCTTAGACTTAGTAAGTTTAAAATAGTATCTAACGAACTACTCGCGTTCTAATTATACCTGAACCTTGTGGATCGATTTACTATTCTCCAACCCTTGAACACAATCACTACCCCTAAGTAAGATTAAGTAAGTTAACACCTTAGCTTATACTAGTCACGAGAAAGTAAAAATCATTCTTCGGAATCGATATACTTTTCTCTCCAACCCTGAACAAATAGACCCAGGTTAAGCTAACCAAAAAATCGTAAGAACTAACAGTTTAGGAAAATAGAAATCATTTAACAACCTTTGCATCCGTCATTCTAAACCTTATGTCATTTAAAAACCTAGGAAATAAACAAACAATCGTTTTACACAATTGTGAAATAAATAACAAAAAATACGACCTTGTAATCACACCTCATACACAAACAGTTGGATACATTCGCACAAAACGACAAACACTAAAGAGGAAAATAATAACTAAACAAAGACAAATAACACGAAAAAGATTTTCAAAAAATTGAAACGCATTTTCAGAATCAGAAACCAACAGTTTAGACGAACTTTACAAACTAAAAGAATCAATAGATAAAAATTGCCCACTTCACGATCAACTATATTTTTCTGACTCAGAAACAACTTCAAATTCATCAAAAAGAGGAAAAAGAAGAATAAAAAAGCAGT